CAGCAATGCTTTGCAGAAAAGTTCAATCAAAAAATACAAAAGCCTATCTTGGAACGAATGAATGCAGAGGAAATGTTGACTGGAATAACTTCTGTAGAATGGTCCAATGATTATCCCATGCTGATAGAGGCTATTAGAAAGAAATGGAAACGTGATCCTCTACCTATTCCAGAAGGTCTTCCTAGAATTTCAGATAAAGATGAATTGCTACAAGAAGGAACACGAGTTAGAGTAATGTTATTTGAGCCTAAATCTGTACTTGGACAAAAATTACATGGTAAGTTTCGTACAGGTGATATTCGATGGGATCCCGAAATTCGAGTAATTAAAAAACTTATATTAAGTCCTGAGCAACCACCAACATATCTTGTTAATGGTCCTCATGGCAAGTTGGGAGTATCACGTTGTGCATATACTAGAAAGCAACTCCAAGTAGTTCCAGACAATGAGAATCCCCCTCCAGATACAGTAATTCGTAGTAAACAATATAAATTCATTCCTGAAAAAATTCTTAAGCAACGAACTTACAAAGGTAAAAAACAATACCTTGTTAAATGGCACCGATATCCTGAAAGTGAATCAACTTGGGAACCAGCAAATAGATTTAAAGAGGATGCACCTAATCTTGTAAACGAATTTCTGGGAGTAAAAAAATAGCAGAGTTAACACAGCTAATTGCATCTCATTTTTTTGAAATGCATAACACTAATGATTTAATGCTTCCAAAACTGGTGAATTCGTTTTTTTGTGCTCATCTCTTGCTGGAATTATAGGGATAAAGAAATCTTTTCCATCACAAGTAATGGCCATATGCTTTCTAGATTCAAGTAAATCATAATTATATTCTCTAAGACGAGGTCGGTTCAAAATAAGCTCATGATATGGATAGTTTGCAATTACAGCAAAATCATCTGTTATAGTACATCCTGGTGCCAAAGTTATTTTGACGTTTTTAACTGTACCTAATGATTTAGTGTTAGTTGATGCTCCAAAAAGTTTGCAAATTTTATTTGTATCAAGTATTAATCCAAGTTCTTTATAAATCTCTTCAGGCATAACAGACTTATTGCAACATGAATCTATAAGAATTGGGAGTTTTAATTTTCCCTCTACTACACCTTCAACGGATGCTAAATCTTTTTTATTATCTAGGCGCAAAAGATCAATATCCATAGAATCATCAGAATAAGCTTCACTAAACTTCTGAATTTCTTTGCTTGTAGTTTTCTTAGTTAATCCCAAACGAGTCAATTCCTCTATAATTAATTCATGAATAATTTTTCTCAAACTCGCAGTATCAATTGATGACCCCTTGGTTTGCAATTCCTTTTTACCACCTTTGGCCTTAGTAGCATTTTCAGTTATTTTTTTTTTCGAACTAATTGGAGAGTATATTCATCATCATCAGTGGCAATTTCACGTATCAAATTAGAAGTATCCATAGAATCAGGATCATTGATACGAAAATTATTAATTTTAGAGATGAGACCCTCAATTTCCTTATCAAGCTTCTGTTGTTCAATCCGTTCAACAATTCTAGATACCATTTTCTCAGTGTCGGAGCTTGGCTTTATATATTGATCCTGCTTCCTCAAAGAACCTCCAACTTGTTGAAAAATACTTTGTCCGCTTTCATCTCTAAAATTAATAAAATCTGGGATAGCAGGATAATCTTTTATCGATTCGTCACTTGAAGTTGCAAACTTATTAAGAATTTCATTGGTAGTATTTCTTGCAGATTCTCGGGCTATTCGCAAATCATTATTTTGATACGGAACTTTTGGAATTTTTGCTTGTAATTCCTGAATCTGTATCTGAAAATTTCGCGTAATTTTTTCAGTAGCACTTTTGATCATTCTATCCACATCTTCTGGTGAAAATCCAGAATGACTTGGCTTATTTGATCCTGCTGATGTAGGCTGTATTTGAGCTTGATGGTCAGTATCTCCTGTTCTCTTGGATAGGCCCAATCTCATTTCAGATTTTCGTTTTTCAACTTTTTCTAAATTTTTAACTAATTCACTTACAGTTTTTTCAGCCCCAATTCGTTCCACTTCAAGTTGATTGTCTGGAGATAGCCCCCTAAAGAATTGATGATTAACTACTTCATCGCCAAAATTCAGCAGTTTACCATATTTTTTTACTTTTTCATAGAAAGT